AGCGCAATGTATGGTTCAATTTCTGAAAAATATAAATATATGAATTGTTTTTATGTCACTTAGTAAAAGAAGGTGCCGGACGTGAAGTCAATTTTGTAATGTTTCTAATTGATTATGCATTTTTGGCAACTCCAAAGTCACATGTGAACTTATAAGATCAGGAATATTTATTTATCAATTGTATTCAACAGATAAGCAGAATAGTTTTCTATAGCTTATCATGGTCCCGTTATTCTACTTTTAGAAGGCGGGAAAGAGGAAATAATCTTTTTGGCATATATTAGTCGGGCGATGGCATCATGGATGACATTTCTCAATTTCTGAATATATAGTTGTCGATGGTGTTGAAGTTCTACAACATATGCATGCATTGCATATATGCAATTAACCTTAATGTCAAGATCTTTAGAATTCATGATTTTTCACATATGAATTTAATCGATCAAGAAACATGCCTTAATTCATGGTAATAATTGAATAATTTAAATCTATAAAAGAGAAACTAGTGAAATAAAGAAACTGTTCTCTCCCATTATCTATCTGTAATTTAACGTTTTAACGTGAAGTCAATTTTGTAATGTTTCTAATTGATTATGCATTTTTGGCAACTCCAAAGTCACATGTGAACTTATAAGATCAGGAATATTTATTTATCAATTGTATTCAACAGATAAGCAGAATAGTTTTCTATAGCTTATCATGGTCCCGTTATTCTACTTTTAGAAGGCGGGAAAGAGGAAATAATCTTTTTGGCATATATTAGTCGGGCGATGGCATCATGGATGACATTTCTCAATTTCTGAATATATAGTTGTCGATGGTGTTGAAGTTCTACAACATATGCATGCATTGCATATATGCAATTAACCTTAATGTCAAGATCTTTAGAATTCATGATTTTTCACATATGAATTTAATCGATCAAGAAACATGCCTTAATTCATGGTAATAATTGAATAATTTAAATCTATAAAAGAGAAACTAGTGAAATAAAGAAACTGTTCTCTCCCATTATCTATCTGTAATTTAACGTTTTAGTTTATGTGTTTCTCTCCCATTATCCAGCGATTTTAAACCATTATTTCGACATAATTCCTTCCATGTACTAAAATATTAGTCCCTACTTAACATTACACGCAATGAGATGTTTAATAATTGCATTATAATAATGTATTCGAAAGGACTATCCTTTTCAGTGGTCACATAATCCTCATGTACATGTACCAACAATTATGACAAGAATAATATTGTCAAAAATAATATATAAATGAGCTCAAAGTGTCAATACACAAACACCATAAATTACATAATAATGTCAATGATCATTTTCAATAATGTCAATTCTCTCGACATGTTCATTAAATATCTTTGGTAGCAATCCTTTTGTTAATGGATCTGTAATCATAAGATTCGTGCTAATATGCTCAATTTACACCTTTTATTTTTGAACTTCTTCTTTAACAGCAAAGTACTTCAATTCCATGTGTTTAGCACCTTTAAAGTACTTCTTGTTCTTTGAAAAAAAGACTGCTGCAGAAATGTTACAATAAAGTTTCAGCGGCTTGGCAATATTGTCAATAATTCCAAGCCCTGAAATAAAGCTCCGCAGCCAATTTCCTTGAAAGCTTCTATAGTAGATAAAGCAATGATAGAATGCTTCACATTTTTTCATGATATAGCCCCTCGAGCCTAGAGGAACAGATAATCAAATGTGGACTTTCTAGTATCCACACATCCAGCAAAGTCCGAATCTGAATACCCAATGACCTCCAAGTTATCAGATCTCCTATAAGTGAGTACGTGATCTTTCGTTCATTGCAAGTATCTCAATACTTTCTTTTCAACTTTCCAATGATCAAGTCCCAGGTTATTTTGATACTTGCCCAGCATTCCGACAGCAAAACTGATGTCTGGCCTGGTGCAAGTTTGTGCGCCGCATCAGAGCTAGCTAATGCCCACAAATTCATTAGTGGATTGCAACAAGTATATAATTCATAATCGTTATTCCTATGAAATATGAATTATTTAAAATTTAAAATTTTGATGTTATAATGCTAAATCAATGCAGGGATATGATACTATAGTGGGAGAGCGAGGGATTCAATTGTCAGGAGGACAGAAACAACGAGTAGCCATTGCACGGGCAATTATAAAAAGTCCAAAGATAATATTACTAGACGAGGCGACTAGTGCCTTGGATGCTGAATCTGAGAGAATAGTTCAAGATGCACTTGATCGAGTAATGGTGAATAGGACTACAGTTATTATAGCACATAGGTTATCAACAATCAAGGGAGCAGATTTAATTGTCGTGGTTAAAAATGGAGTTATAGTGGAGAAAGGTAAGCATGAAACTCTGATAAACGTTAAAGATGGTTTCTACAAATCACTGGTTTCCCTTCATATGAGTGCTTCGTCTTAATATAATAACCAGCGCAATGTATGGTTCAATTTCTGAAAAATATAAATATATGAATTGTTTTTATGTCACTTAGTAAAAGAAGGTGCCGGACGTGAAGTCAATTTTGTAATGTTTCTAATTGATTATGCATTTTTGGCAACTCCAAAGTCACATGTGAACTTATAAGATCAGGAATATTTATTTATCAATTGTATTCAACAGATAAGCAGAATAGTTTTCTATAGCTTATCATGGTCCCGTTATTCTACTTTTAGAAGGCGGGAAAGAGGAAATAATCTTTTTGGCATATATTAGTCGGGCGATGGCATCATGGATGACATTTCTCAATTTCTGAATATATAGTTGTCGATGGTGTTGAAGTTCTACAACATATGCATGCATTGCATATATGCAATTAACCTTAATGTCAAGATCTTTAGAATTCATGATTTTTCACATATGAATTTAATCGATCAAGAAACATACCTTAATTCATGGTAATAATTGAATAATTTAAATCTATAAAAGAGAAACTAGTGAAATAAAGAAACTGTTCTCTCCCATTATCTATCTGTAATTTAACGTTTTAGTTTATGTGTTTCTCTCCCATTATCCAGCGATTTTAAACCATTATTTCGACATAATTCCTTCCATGTACTAAAATATTAGTCCCTACTTAACATTACACGCAATGAGATGTTTAATAATTGCATTATAATAATGTATTCGAAAGGACTATCCTTTTCAGTGGTCACATAATCCTCATGTACATGTACCAACAATTATGACAAGAATAATATTGTCAAAAATAATATATAAATGAGCTCAAAGTGTCAATACACAAACACCATAAATTACATAATAATGTCAACGATCATTTTCAATAATGTCAATTCTCTCGACATGTTCATTAAATATCTTTGGTGGCAATCCTTTTGTTAATGGATCTGTAATCATAAGATTCGTGCTAATATGCTCAATTTACACCTTTTATTTTTGAACTTCTTCTTTAACAGCAAAGTACTTCAATTCCATGTGTTTAACACCTTTAAAGTACTTCTTGTTCTTTGAAAAAAAGACTGCTGCAGAAATGTTACAATAAAGTTTCAGCGGCTTGGCAATATTGTCAATAATTCCAAGCCCTGAAATAAAGCTCCGCAGCCAATTTCCTTGAAAGCTTCTATAGTAGATAAAGCAATGATAGAATGCTTCACATTTTTTCATGATATAGCCCCTCGAGCCTAGAGGAACAGATAATCAAATGTGGACTTTCTAGTATCCACACATCCAGCAAAGTCCGAATCTGAATACCCAATGACCTTCAAGTTATTAGATTTCCTATAAATGAGCATGTGGTCTTTCGTTCCTTACAAGTATCTCAATACTTTTTTTTGCAGCTTTCCAGTGATCAAATCTCGAGTTACTTTGATACTTGTACAGCATTCCGATAGCAAAACTAATGTCTGGTTTGGTGTAAGTATGAGCATATATTAAACTCCCAACAAGAAATGCGTAAGGTATAGTTACCATTTGTTTGCATTCTAATTCGTTCTTTGGATATTGCATAAGACTAAACTTGGCTCTTTTCTGAATTGGAACGAAACTCATTGAACAATTTTCCATCTTAAATCTCTCTAAAACTTCATTGATATATGCTTTCTGAGACAACCCTAACAATCCTTACAATCTATCTCAAAATATTTCAATTTGCCCATCCCACATCTTTCATTTCAGAATTTTTAGAAAGAAATTTCTTAGTCTCCTATAATAGACTAAGATTGTTAGTAGTTAGCAAGATATCATCAACATACAGAATTAAAAATATTAACTTGCTCTCTCTGACCTTTAGATATGTACATTGATCAACGATGTTTTCGTTAAATCTAAAGGAAGTAATAGTATCGTTGAACTTAAGATACCATTGATGGAAAGCTTGTTTAAGTTCGTATATTGATTTCTTTAACTTGCATAACATGTGTTTCTTTCCTTCAACAGTAAAACCTTCAAGCTAATCCATATAAATTTCTTCACCTGAATTTCCATTTAGAAAGACAATTTTCTTATCCATTTGATGCAGTTTTAAGTCATAATGAGCTACTAAAGCCATTATAATTTTAAGTGAGTCTTTCTTTGAGACTGGTGAAAATGTCTCCTTATAATCAATGCTACCTTGTTTAGGGTTTTAGGGGTTTAGGGTTTTTGTTTTTGGGAATTGTGGTTTGTGGTTAGGGGTTCAGGTATAGGGTTTTAAGGTTTTAAGATTTACGATTTAGGGGCTAGGGTTAGGGATTGGGGATAGGGGGTAGGAGTTTAGGGTTCAGTCTTTTTTTTTTTTTTTTTTTTTTTTTTTGGGAAGGGTGCGGTACCTCCGTTAGTTTTATTAATATGCCCTCACTTGTGATGGAGGAATATTGTGGTTACATGTAGAGTTACTGAAAACAATAAATAAGGAAGTACCATCCCCTTTACAAAGAAAGCAAATGATAAAATACAAATGTAGAACGGTAAACAAGGAAGTACTACTTCCTTACAAAAAGAACTAAAGCAAATAAAGAATAAAAAACTAAATTCTGAAGTTGAGCAATCCATGTTTGTCAATTTGTACGAGTGCCCTAACGTGTCGGGGTAGGTCAATTGGTCCATATACTTGATATCGTCGATGATCCCATCCCTCTACAGCAAGAGTATCTACAACCTGGTTCCCTTCTCTATAGATATGCGAAACAGTGTACCTATCGAAGGATATGATGTTTGTAGTCGATTTGAGTGTGCCCCGAATAGCTAATGGTTCTCCGCCTCTAGTGATGTAGTAGATGGCCGTGGTAGAATTTGACTCAATTCAAATGGTTGAAAGTCCAAGTCCTCTAGCCACTAGAATCCCATCTAGTACAACTCTGATATTAGACTCCAAATCAAGCAGGGGTTGTACGATGCTATGATCCTTAATGATGCCTCCACCACTCGTAAATTCATTCTTGATGCATCCATTAGTGTTGATCTTGTACGATCTTACTGATGGAGTGTGCCAAACAACCATCATAGGTGGTGGTGGGGTGGGGAGAGTCATAGAGATGCCAAAGAGTGGTATAATTTCCAAGTCTCCTCGCCAATACACAGCTCTAAATAGTCCCCCCATATGAAAAAAACAATGATAGCGCGAATGTGTCTACTGCAAACGTACTTTTCAGAATACCTCTATCTCTAAAACCTCTCTCCCGATCTCATAGGTATCTAAAAAATGTTCCCAAAGTTGTGCCATACCCGATCGGAGATGCTATTGCTAGTGAAGATGTGACATATGGTTTCAATCTCAGCATAGCATCGACATCGAGAAGCTAACCGACACCCAATCCTCCTCTGAATAACCACATCTACTAAAATGATATCCTACCCTAATCTCCAGTAGAAAAATGAAACAGTGGTAGGCAATATAGAGCTCGCCAATAATCGACAAGAGTCTGGTAGGCAATATGGAGCTCCACGAACTAGATACCATGCTGATTTGGTAGCAAAGCTAGTATTTTTTATGTAACCTCCAAACAATACGATCTGGGTATCAGCACATAAAGGTATCGCCCCTACCTATTTTGCTATATGAGATGGAAGGACCTGTAATAATCATCCAAAATCCTACACCCTTTCAGATGTTTGTTGCCTGTGTGGGAATAGGGATGCCAATGTGGACTCTTCCATCCAAAAATCATGCCAGAAGAAAACTTGACCAGCTCCAAGATGCCAAGCAACGTGTGGCTCTGTCCGTGGTCCTACTGATTTCAGCCTTGTCCAAGTGAGAGAGGCTGCTCAAGGAACTGCTGCAAGTGAAGGGTGTGTCCCCATGCAATACTTGCCCAGTAAAAATTGGGCCCATATCAATCTCTGAGAGCAGGATAGCCACCATAGCTTCATGAAGAAGGCATCCACCACAACTTGCAATCTCCTGAAGCCTAGACCACCCTTATTAGTAGTGTGGTTTTCCTTCTAACTTCTCTAATGTAACCATCGCACCTGATCCTTAGAATCCTGCAAAGACACTTTCAAGTTTTGATGTGAACCTATGTAGCAACGAGGGCTACAAAACCCACACAAGATAGAAACGAATCCCAAGAATGCAAAAGAATAGAAGGTTTTGGATTAACGCGTGAACAATAAATTAAGCAACCGAAGGTATATTAAACCACAAACCTCTTAACTACACAGTGAACAAATCTTACCCAGGATTGTGAACACTATAAAAGAAACTCAATTTCTTGATAAGTTCGATTTCTTGCAGCATAAAGCCTAGGGGAAAAATTCTCAATTCAATTCATCATAAAAGTCTTGGTTGTTACAATGAAAAAAATAAGAAACCTATTTATACTAACCCTAGAATAATGTTAAAAAATGAAATATATCTTCTAAAGATTACGAAGATTGCATAAAATTGAAATTCTAACATAAATAGGTAACTCGTGAAAAAAGGAAACTTTGCATCTCGAAATACACCATATGATTGCATAGTATAATCCAATGCAGCAGCGTAGTTCATTTGAAATCCTTCAATTTGGTCTCGGGAATGGTCTATGCAGTCACATGCCTTTTATACTATGCAGTCGCATGTTGTTAAATTTGAAACCTCATTTTTCTTGTACAAAATTTTGTGAAGATTTCGAATTGTACTCATGGGCGAAATTTCGACACCTGAGCTGAAAGTTATGCCTGTTTTGATCTATGCTGTTCGTTTTTCCATATATCTTCCAAAACATTGAATCTAGCAGACCAAACATGATTCCACCTTCAAGACCAAGATATAAGTTGTTATTTGGCTTGTTAACTTCAACATTTTGTACTCCATAGCTCAATCAAGTAGTTGGATTACTTTATTGGCTCTTTGAGGCCTCGAACTTAGCTCGATTCTTGGTCTTAGCTTCTTATCAACATGCGCCGAGTCCTTAAGCTTCTTAATAATTTGACCCCGCTCCTGGATCACATCAAGATTCTTCAGAATAGCCTTAGGAGACTGCATGATCTAAAGAAAATGTAGTGGTATGGAAGAAACAATCGACCTCGACAAGGTAATGCGACCCTCAGGTGATAGTAATCGTGAAGCACGGCTTGAGATCCTGTCCTTGACCCTCTGAATAAGGTCATCATAAATGAAGCTCATCTTGATCCCCTTAAATAAAGGTATCCCTAGATAAGTAAAAGGCTTTCGCTGGTGTCGAAATCCAGTCAAAATCTCCAATCATCTTATTTGACTAGTAGATGCTCATCTAGGCAGGATAAATCCACTCTCATCTCTATTTACCAAAATGCTCCAAACAATCAAGGACCCTCTTAATGGATTGTTTTTGGCCATTGGTGAATATGATCATATCGTCGGCAAATAAAAATGAGAGACAAGGGTGCTGCCTCCATGTCGATAACACATACTAGGATACTCCTAAAATTTCTGAGTGAACAAGCGTGAGTAGTCTGGAGTAATAATGAACATGGATGGAAAAATGGGATCTCCCTGTCTGAGCCCTCGAGAGGATATAGAGAAACGACATTTTGATATGCACTGCCTAATCTTATCAATCCAGATATGATCAAATCCAAAAGCTTCTAATATAGAATGATGAAGCCCCAATCTATGCGATCGTATGCTTTAGCTATGTCAAGCTTTAGCATAGAATTATCCCCTTGAACTCTATCATCCAAGGTGTAGAGATGTTCCTAAGCTAATAAGACATCGTCCCCAATCAATCGGTTAGGAATAAGACCATTCTATGGAGGAGAAATAATCCATGGCAACAACGGATTCAAACGCGTGTTCAATAGCTTAATAATGAGCTTATTGAACACCGTAAATAAACTGATGGGTTTGGATTCAGTCCATTTACAAGCACCATTCCTTTTCAGGAGCAGAACAATGGTAGTCGCAACAACAAATTTTGTGGGAGATGACCTCCATCAAAGAAATCCAATACTGCCTTATATACATCATCCTGAATAATATCCCAGCAATGCTAAAGAACAGGGCGAAGAAACCATCTGGGTCCATGACACTGTTAGCATCTATGCTAAAGACCATCACATGTACTTCGTGAATCAAAGGGGGACGGTTTAGTACCATATTGTCATCCTTTGTCAAAAAGCCTAGGAATAATATCAGGACGGATAGGATCCATTGGCTGAGAAGGCACAGATAGGAGATCATGGTAGAATGCAATGGCTGAAGTCTGAATATCTGCAGAAGTAGCTAGGACCTCTCTGGCCTATGTTCTGATGGACATGATACATGATTTGATCCGACGCTCCTGAACCATTGTATGGAAATAACGAGTGTTATGATCTCCCTCACATACCAAACATGAATCAACTTTTGCTTCAAAAAAGGTCCGGTTCAGCTCTAGCTGGGCCTACTGGGCCTAATATAATGAGTCACGATGCTCTGACATAGGGTCTCTATCATATATTGTCTCTGCCTCATCTAACTAGTCCTCAACATCCCATACCCGTTGGAAATATCTCCAAACACATGACGATTCCACCAACGCAATCCCTATTTTAGCCAAAAGAACTTCTCCCAAAGAGCGATCATTCCTGTATGATATGTAGGAAGTGACCACTTCTGGGAGACAAAGGCTGAAAAATTAATGAGCACCCTATCGATTCTCGTCCTGAACCGACCATTGGTCCAGGTATATTGATTCCCAAGGAAGCCAGTGTCCTCCAAACCACAGTCTAACATCATATTAGAGAAAGTAGTAGTGCATCAATTGTCAGTATTTTGACCAATGCGCTCTCAATCTTGTGTAATAACGTTAAAGTCTTCCTCAACTAGCCAAGTGTCATCTATACCGAGGGAGCTATGGTGAAGTCCTGCCTACAAATCCCTCATAATAACAGCCTTGTAGGAGGCGTAGACAAGAATCAAGTAGATGGGTCATGTTAGTCTAGGATCCTCAACTCTAAAATAAAGAAACTGAGGATGATCAATAATAGTAGTAATACTAGTGCCCACATTATAGAAGAGGCAGATCTAGTTTAACTCATTATGAACTCTCGTGTCAAATATCATATATCGTCGAATATATGGAAAACTTTGGTGAAGAACAAAAGGCTCCAGTATAACCAGAAGATAAACCTGAATGAGTTTCTTTATACGCCTACGAGTATCTAGACTAGCTACACCTCTTACATTCCATATGATGGAATTAATAAAGATGGGAAATGTGAGGAGGTATCATGTGACTAACTCCTAGTGATCCTCTTGCTCAAATGTGGAGTGTCAGTAGCCCGTGGTATTTCTTCCATGTAACCTGGACAAAACCATGCCAACTAAATCCTTAGCAGAAGACCTACGAAACATACCCTGCTGATGGACTTCAATCCGTGATGTAGTATCTGTATCTGATTGCTCAGAATTTAGAGAAGGAATGGAAGCCTCTATTGTCTGCTAACAGACGACTGGAGCACTGGAGACAGGAAAACCAATGCAGCCAGGTGTCGAGCCAGGAAGATGTCTGACCTCTGTATCAAAAGCCTTTGAGTCTTGTGCTCGCTTAGTCATGTCATGAGCCAAAAGGTCGATGTGAGCACTAGAAACATGAATAGCAAACTATGATGGAGGCAAAACTGATGTAGTGATACTCGAAGGAGCAACATTCTCTGGGGCAACTGGCTGAATCACTGTAGGAGCAACTGATTGAACCATTGGAGAAGTAACTGATGTAGTAGCCAACTGAGTGGATAGGGTAATTGAGTGTAGGTCTACATAATTCTAAACATGACCCTGAGTATTACTGGTGTGGTGAGCAACTGGGTTGGTATCTGAAGGAGCAGTACTAATTGTGGAAGGCACCTGCAGGATAACTGCCTGTCTTTGAGTATGTATAACACTAGAAATCGGAGGGATATCATTCACTATAGGTGGAATAATTTGAGGGACACGGGCACTTGAAGTGCTAGTCTGCCGTCTCTTATGCTGTTTCCGAACTGGGGTCCACCTCTGACGTGGCTCAACCTCAACCACCTTTCCCTTAACCTTATCCTTAGCTAGAATAGCGGGCTGAGGGATAGGCTAAACAACAAGAGGTGGTACAGGTCTTGTACTAAGCTTATACTGATCTTCTATGTGCCCAAAATGTCTGCATCTATGACAAAAGTCCGGCTTCTTGTCATATAAAAATCATGCCAATATCCTCTCAATCCAAACTTTGTCAGGGAGATCATATTCAAAATTTACCTCTGCACATACCCTAGCCTCACTAGGACAGTGAAGATCAGTTGTTGCCCCATCAATACGCAGTGGAAAACCAATAGCTTTGTCAATAGCATACAGACTGCAGTTAGCTCGGAAATGAATAGGCAAAAGAGAAAAAGATACCCAGACTGGAGTAATCGGGGTCTCGTATTGTAGACTAAAACTCGAAATCCATTTAAAGACTCTTACAAGAGAACCATCAATATACCATAAAGCTTGGAGGAATAACCGTGCATAGTCATCCCCATGCTCCAAATGGATCAAAATGTGTGTGGCATCAATCAAACCAATAGTATAATCACCACAAAATCCAAAACAGGAAAATTTATTATGTACCTTAAGCATAGGTGGCCTCCGGTGCACACATTTACCGACAAGCGTAAACTTTTATGGCTCACCCAGGAGCACATTAGGTGTCTAAAACAATTTTCACCCCACTCACATAGAGAGATCCACTTCGACTAAAATGTATGAACACCGCATCATGTATAAATTAGCATATTCCAATTTATAAATGATGATGTCCACATAGAACTGCTAAAAATAAAATCACAAGAATTATGCACCTTCCGTTCCTCAGTTTGACCCAAGTTCGATCGTATCCAAGCCTCAAATTGACCATACCAACTAGCGGAGCTAGAGACTATGCTGCAATTTGCAGAAACAGCATTCTCGAAACTACATGAAGCCAAGAATTTCATCATACCATTCTCATCTCCTTAAACACTGTGCCCCCTCACTCTCTTGTCCCTTTCACCTAACATCCCTGTGCCGAAATAATATTCTATAGGTATAACATTCACAATCTTTTTTGTCTAGTCCTAAACTTGTCAATTGATCCGCAAACACCATACCTCGAGAATTCTTTCTCTTTATAATGTGTTTACATCTCCAAATAGTTACTACTCCATACCTCGAGAATTTACTATTTTAGATGAATTTTTACCCATTTCGCTATTTCTGAGGACTTTCATGCTGCCGGACAGAGGAAATTTTAGTGACAGAGACATTTACAGGTAAAAATTACGAAAGAAAAAGAATAATGGAACTCACTCAATAGTGTGGTGATAGCTGACAAAGGTAGGCAATTTAGACATGTTCTAAATGAAAATCTGTGTTAGAATCATTATGGCTCAAGAAAATTCATACTAAAATTTCTTTTCATTTTAAACTCAATTTAGAAGTTTCGTGTTGTTTTATGATATGCGTACAGACACCTCCATATCTCATTCTCTATCATGCAGTTTAGCACTCTGTACCTCCAGCCAACACCACCATAACCTTATGCTCCACTACAATTTTTCATGTCCATCTTTCTGAGTTTATATTGATAAATATTTCTGAATCTTGGGCAATTGAGCTCCCAATATCTACTAAACTACTTTGAATGTTTCAAATTGTTATATTTTCATAGATGGATCATCATTATTGTTAGTCTTGAGTTATAATTATCTGCAATGGCTTATATTCTTCATTTTCGAAAGCTTTGCTTTCTTGAGCCTGTCAATTATTCTTCATGAAATCAATCAAAAACTAATGAGCAGAAATCAATTGAGACACCCAAAGTTGAGATTGAAAATTAAGGTGCTATTTTTGCTATGTTAGAAGAGAACTCGAAAAGGAAGAAGCAGAAGAAACAACCCAAAGTATGGAGTTGCATGGATTCATGCCGTCGCATAATTGGGTACATGAACACCACCTGGTGGTTGCTCTTGTTTCATTTCATTGTTTGCCTGATAATTTACCAGGACTTAAGGTACCTGAGTCGCCCGGAGCAAGGCTGAAGCGTGAAGGCCTGACCGCGTTCCATCCTCTTTTTGGTGCTCGACATTGTCATCGGAGGACTGGAGCTCCGGGAGGGGAAGCCTTGTTATGATGGCCTTTTTCGCAGGCGGCTTTGGTGCGATAGCTTTACAGAGATTCTCAAGAGGCTTGAATTGCATAATTGGATTTTGTTTTGTGTTTCAGTTTTAGGTTATTAATTAAGATTTTGACACCCATTGAGCATTTTGATGAAATTTTAGGCCTATGCACTGGTTGGAGCATCTATCCCTGGATAATGAAACAGGGCTTGATCCACCAAGGATTTGGGTTCGGGCAGTCCCAGTACTGGTTGCGACTGACTACTTTGCTCCTGGATATTTCGTATGGGCTATTCTTATAGAAAATTTGGCGTATATTGACTATGAGGGCAAGAATATGTATAGGGCTGCTTATGATTGGAGATTATCCTTTCAAAATACAGAGGTATAAAGGCCCTTCACTTGCCACATTCATGGTTTAATTTTGCAAATACCAGTAGTAATATGCTAAATTTAAATAAATGGGACCATTTTTAAGCCTTAAGACGAGGTGGTTCAATACTCACGAGAGATCAGATTTGAATGTTCATTCCCCATTTTATTGTTTATCAATGTTAAGAATTAGGTATTTATAAGACCATTTGAATTGATTTGAGCTTTATCTAATACACTTATAATTGAGGCATGATCAGATAAGGGACCAAACACTTAGTAGACTGAAGAGCAAAATTGAGCTTATGTATGTAACAAATGGCCAAAAAAAAGTGGTGGTGGTGCCTCATTCCATGGGGGTAATCTATTTTCTCCACTTCCTTAAATGGGTTAAATCGCCTCCACCCATGGGAAGAGGTGGTGGCCCTGGTTGGTGTGCCAAACACATTAAGGTTTCCTAAATGTGATGTTACCAATGTATTTTGTCATCATTTTACTTGTGCAGAGAAGTTATTTAGGGTTCCCTTTTATGTTTACCTGGCGAAATAATTATATATTACATTGTCCACAGTAGAACAGAAGGTAGTTTCATCGCAATGTAAATATAAAGAATTTGTGGAAAAAACATTATGGCACAAGGTACTCAAATTCTGCTTATGATAATTGCAGAGCTATGGCTCCTGGTCTTCTAGATTCTGACTTTCTCGGCCTTCAAACTCTAGAGAGTGTCATGCGCGTCTCAAGAACATGGGACTCCATAATCTCTTTGATACCTAAAGAAGGAGAGACCATTTGGGATAACTTGGATTGGTCTCCAAAAGAAGGCCATGTATGTGATTCGGAAACGAAAAAGTACAATAATGGGAAGAATGAAAATAATACTAAAGGAGGGACCAGTTTCCGAGTACAAGAACTAACAAAGTATGGACGAATTATTTCTTTTGGGAAGGCATCGCTAGACTTGCCGTCATCACAACTCCCTGTTATGGTTCTGAGGTATAACTTTCCCCCGTCTTTTATGTTGCAATTCATGACCACACTTTTCTGATACGATATTGAACGACGTCAAATGAATAATAAGCCCAACAAAGTGTTGCTAAATGAATAACTCTTGAAGTCATTTGAGTTTTAAAATCCTAATTATCTTTATTCTTCAAACTAAATGAGCACAGAAACAGGAATTTGTTCACGGTGACAGCTCCCCAAATTCCTACTCATCATGTGGCGAAGTATAGATGGAATATAATGAGATGAACTAAGAAAGCATCCAAAACATTGCTGAGGAAAAAGCATACACTGTGAGAACTCTATTGGATCTACTTTGCTTTATTGCTCCAAAGATGATGAAGTGGGCTGAGTGTCACGGGCCTAGTTTCGTTACACCCGAACAAACTAGAACCGTGCGGCCTTAACGTTCTACAATTCCCGCACCTCACGAGAAAACGTTAAGTCAGCCTTTCCACGCCCACAAATAATTTAACCAATGAGGCTAAAACAAGTAAGGATTGGGGAAACTTTCTTTATATAAATGAAAGGAAAAACTTTACAATCTCTCTAATGAATAAACTCTCTTCACTCTTATATTCTCTACACTCTCTAACCTCTACTCCATACCATTTACAAATGAGACTACCTCTCTATTTATAGAAAACTTAAACCTCCTTAACCTTCCACTTTACAACTTGCGCTTGGTTGTCGCCACCTCGTGCTTGGTTGTCGCCAACTCATCCTTAGTTATCTTCAAGTGGATGGTATTACAACTTGCCTTGCAAGTTGTCGCCAACTCGTGCCTAGCTTGCATACAACTCGCGTCTAGCTTGCACCGTTGATATTTATCCTTGCCAACTCGTGCTTAGCTTGCCTACAACTCGCACCTAGCTTGCAAGTGGCACACAAGTGGACAAGTTGTGCAAGTTGTCCACTTGCATCCTCAAAATATCCCGCTGCAGGTCCATATATTTTTCCTCCTAAAATGGCTGGGTCGGGACTTAGAAAAACCCCATTAACGCCTTGGCGACGCACTCATCGCCATATATCGCCGAAGCATAGACCTTATTTGCCATAAGTCTATCTCGTTTTCCCACCTTGTGCCATGACATTCCCGTGTCATGCCAAGCATTAAGTCATGATCTTGCGATCCGTGACATTCTCCCCCACTCAATCCGCTAACGTCCTCGTAGCGAAACGTGTTTCGTGCATCCTCATGCAACCTTGCATTGTCTTCCACGTCCATGGGCATCAAAGTTCTCCCAACTTGTGGCACCATCTCCTTGATGATCGGGTTTCCACAGTGCCCCTTGCACCTCTTCCCGTTGCAACCTCTTGCATGCCACTTTCGACACCAACCTTCACCCTCAGCACCTCTGCCTTGGTTCCTCGGATGGACAACTCCTCTGGTCGTAGTGTCCCCACACTTGTCGAAGCTTTGAACCTTCGTGCACCCAATTTCGGACTCCTTTGACAATGCTTCCTCACTTTCCTTCTTTTTCGGTAGTTCCCTCGGCAACTCCGCGAGCATAATGTCCTTATCATTTTCAAGGACTTCCGCCAACTGCATCCTTGACAGTTGTTGTGTTTCCATCCCCACAGAAACATTTTCAGCACTCATAGCATCAAACAGCTGGAATGACTTCATTCGAACTTCATCCTCATCTTGGCTATCTATGGCCTCCGGTTTGCTCTCCGAAATGGAAATAGATGACAATGATCCCAACTTAGGACAATCCCTCATTCGATGTGGTCCTTTGCAAATAAAGCAACCTCGAGGTGTAAAAGTACTCCTCTTCTTCGCATCATACTCCTTACTCCAAGCAGTTGGTTTGTTGCCACCAGATCTATAATCAACTTTGGCATCCTGTTGCCCATCATAATGTTTAGACTTCGGGAATTCAACCCTCGGGGCAACAATACTTGAAGCGGCACCTCCGCTTGTACCGACAGTGGAGTGCTTGCATTGATTAAGCTGGTTGCTCATCCTTTCCATCATTATAGCCAATTGGTTAACTTGGCCATGCATAGCGGTAACGACATCCATGACTTTGGTTTGGAGACGACCAAAATCATCCATCACCGCGGCTTGTCCGGCTACCACAGCTCGAACATCACCTTTCATTGCTTGGACATCGTCCCCTAACGATGCCTGTGTGTCCATTACCTCTTGGACATTAAGTTGTAGAGTTTCTATCTTTCCAATGGCGTGTCCCTCCAACGCCTCGAAGGAGCTTCCAAGAGATTCGACCCGATCACCCATATTAGAGATGATTTGGTCAAGTTTACCTTCCATGTTTGTTGTTTCCCTCACCTTACTCTTTCCTCTAGTTTTCCTTACTTCAGTTTGGGCAGCACCTCGGCCCCTCTCCTCAATCTCAATATCAACAGTTTCTTGAGATTCCGCCATTTGAGCACCTCACCCAAATCTAGCATCCAAGAATCTCCGACGAATCTGGCTACCACAGCCGCACTTGGTTACCACAACCAAACCTTCGCCTTAGACTGCCTCTGTAGTCCACACCACGTGAACCTTACATGGAGATCACCTCACCTCTGAGATGAAAAATTGGTTCAACCCCACGTGAACCTTGCTCTGATACCACTTGTCACGGGCCTAGTTTCGTTACACCCGAACAAACTAGAACCGTGCGGCCTTAACGTTCTACAATTCCCGCACCTCACGAGAAAACGTTAAGTCAGCCTTTCTACGCCCACAAATAATTTAACCAATGAGGCTAAAACAAGTAAGGATTGGGGAAACTTTCTTTATATAAATGAAAGGAAAAACTTTACAATCTCTCTAATGAATAAACTCTCTTCACTCTTATATTCTCTACACTAATAATACTAAAGGAGGGACCAGTTTCCGAGTACAAGAACTAACAAAGTATGGACGAATTATTTCTTTTGGGAAGGCATCGCTAGACTTGCCGTCATCACAACTCCCTGTTATTGGTTCTGAGGTATAACTTTCCCCTGTCTTTTATGTTGCAATTCATGACCACACTTTTCTGATACGATATTGAACGACGTCAAATGAATAATAAGCCCAACAAAGTGTTGCTAAATGAATAACTCTTGAAGTCATTTGAGTTTTAAAATCCTAATTATCTTTATTCTTCAAACTAAATGAGCACAGAAACAGGAATTTGTTCACGGTGACAGCTCCCCAAATTCCTACTCATCATGTGGCGAAGTATAGATGGAATATAATGAGATGAACTAAGAAAGCATCCAAAACATTGCTGAGGAAAAAGCATACACTGTGAGAACTCTATTGGATCTACTTTGCTTTATTGCTCCAAAGATGATGAAGTGGGCTGAGGCTCACTTCTCACCCGGAATAACTGATGACTTTGACGATCCAAAGTACAACCATTAGTACTGGTCTAATCCACTTGAGACGAAGTAAGCATAAAGTTTCTGTACTTGATAAGGGCTTGGCAATGTTAATAGACAGAAAAACATGTGTTTCATTTATTTCTTTCTAATGTATTCTTTATTCAGGTTGCCTGATGCTCCTGATATGGAGATTTACTGTCTATATGGGTTGGAATTCCTACCGAAAGATCTTACGTGTACAAACTATCATCACCTGGTAGGTGCAAGACCATTCCTCTTCAAATTGATAGCTCAGCAGATGGAAGTGACAATGGATGCTTAAAAGGTGGAGTATACTTTGCATATGGAGACGAGAGTGTACCAATTTTGAGCGCAGTTTCATATGTGCAAAAGGGTGGAAAGAAAAATGACGGTTCAACCCGTTTGGCATTGCTACATACATAAGAGAATATGAGCACAAGCCACCAGCTAGTTTGCTTGAAGGGAAAGGACTAGAGAGTGGTGCACGTGTCGATATAATGGGAAATGTTGCCTTGATTGAGGATATTTTTCGCGTAGCTGCTGGATCATCCGGTGTAGAGTTGGGGGTGACAGAATTCATTCCGATATCATTCAAATGTGAGAGAAAATAAATATTCAACGGTAATTGCAGATTACATGATTTTCATGGAGAGTCAAATGCCTTAACACAGTGAAAATTAAAGACAATCAAGCATCAAGAACAATCAAACAGTTGAATTTTAAACGATAACTCTGACATTGACTGCAAAACTCTGATTGGAAGTGTGTAATGTTGTCACTACTTGTAATCAAATAAACACTTTTTTTCTAGCTTTTCTTTGCATAATTGAATATTTTGAAGTCATCTAATTTCAAATGAGAATGCATGGGAAAAATTTCCATATCATTTTAATAAAATTAAGCCTGGTGCTCAAGCATTGGCTGGAGGCATTTTTCCTTCTTACCTTGACAAGTAAAGGTCTTCAAAGAGGATTCGTTTCATCAAACTAAACCACGTGCTCCACTGCTTATGTGGGCTTTCATCATTTTCTTTGATTTTCATTCTTGCGAATGTATCAATACATTTAAGGATTAACTTTTTTTATCGACACAAAAATCGTACTACGTGTAAAAGTTAATTTCATTTCTTGGCATCGTTTAGACCAATATACTGTAATTTAACAAATTGACCGTGAGTTTTTCCCATTGCATCTTAAGTAGAAAAGGTGAATTACAGCAATCGCTCTTTATACATAGCTCAAGTTAAAGCAAAGTTATATAGTATTCGGCTGCTTTATGAGTAAATTATAAGCCCTATATGAAACTTATTAAAGTTACTGTTTATAGTGCATTAGAACACAACAAAATGCTCCACCTTGCCACTACTCTGTAACCAGAAATTGGCTATTTCTACTCAGCTCAAGCTGCAATAATGGCGGGCAGTAAGCCATTGTAGCGAAGAAATGAATCAGGCAAAGGTTCACGTCCACGAAACTCTAGGAAAACCTGTAATGTAAAAGAAGATAACTTTAGATAATGCAAGTTTTCTACTCAAAAGGGGGAAAAAAGAATATTACGATAAGCATTTTTCATTGTGCGTGGAAAATAGGGGTTGCTCTAAGGTGAAGACATATTAACATGTTAGGATTAGAGAAAAACTATGAAGTTTAGGATTTAAGATTCATTAACATGCTTAAACAAACAAACAATGATTCTTAGCTTTATGCATTCTAAGCCTGAACATTACCATGTTCTCCAGATATTTGATGCACTCGAACAAAATCACTAGTCCTAGCAAATTGCAGAAAACATAATTTTCTTTATGCTGCATTACCTCGTTGGGCAATTTTCCTCCTCCAAGAGCGAGGACCGTTTCTCGAAATCTGGTGCCAATTTCTCTAAGAGTCTGTTGAAGAAGATGGAGATGATTTGAGCTAATTACACAAGTTATAATGTTCGCAAAAGCATTGGTAGGTACTATCATGGGAAAAAAGCACTAATATAACAGAATGCAAATCCTACAGCCTCACTTGGTCATTGTCCAACCCAGCCTCCTCAAATGCCGCAAAGACATCATAAGCTAACACCTCGGCCCACTGAAACATAAGGACACTTGATATTAAGGTGTGAGAAAAAGGTATAAGTAAAAAGAAGTTTCTTACTTAATTAAAAATGAAAAATTTGTTTTGGAGATGTTAATCTGAAATCTGGTCAGACATGCAAACTCACAGTATTCTTCGAAATATATGTGTTAAGAGTAAAAAGGTAAGCATAAAGAAATAGTCGTACTTCTATCAATATACTTGCAAAATAAATCTTTATGCAGAAATAGGAAGATCAAACACAACTGGATGTGACCGGGATATGGAAACTAATAATAATATCATGAATACTGGATCTGAAACTTTTATAATTGATTTGCTAGGAATGAACTTTGACTAAAACTTTAATAAATGCAAATAGAGTAATTGAAGCCACCTGATAACTGTAATCTCCTGCTGCATATTTATCTAAAATTTACATATTCAATAAGAAATTATCAATTTGTTAAGAAGATTGTACATTGGCTCAAAAAATAGAATAGTGAGCTACCAGAGATGATGTGATCAAAACTACAAAGACATCTGTCCTCTGGAAGTAGTGGGATTATGTGTGTCTTTTTCCCTACTCTTTGATCAATATCATATATAGACTCTGGTCCACCTGGTACATAATTTGAGTGAAGCTCCAAATCAACGCCAGCATAGCGCAGCTGAAAACAAACTAGTATATAAATTATAAACGAAAATCTGTAGAAAATAATTAACGACATATCTGCTTGAGTTTGCAGCTTACTCTTGATGCTGAAATGGGAAATCTGTTATAACCCTTTAATGTCTTTGATGTGAGGTATTACAAATCCTTCGGGATATTTTTAGTAAGGAATTTCCAAATAGGTAAAAGCCTCAGTTCCCCTATTTAGCTTTAAGTTATTCTATTGAAGTGACAGCTAAACTTTCAGAATCATTTTAATATCACTTTTTCTGAGTGATACTATTTATCAATTAGATATAATAAGCGACTGCAACTTAAATATTACCCATATAAGTAATCGATAATCAATCAACTATTATCAAAGCCCAAGATAGAGAGACGAAATAATATATAGTTAGATTAGTGTCTGCATACTTGGTGGGACTTGAAATCAGAATTGTGTAATCCTAGAGCCACAGCCACAGCCTTAGCCACCAGAGCTATAGGCATCATTGGCTTCCAAATTTACCTGACAAAGTAGCTGTGAACCTCCCCTAAATGTCCTTGCTGGAATAATGCTTAAGCATACGTCTTCGGGAAGACTTTCTCCAGTTTCATAATGCTTGGCAATGCTCATAATTATATCCCTGTGAAAGGAAGATTCCATAAACCACCGAAAATAATAATGAATTCGTTAAGGGATATATGAATATACTAATTAATGAATTTGGTGGAGTTATAATGAGAATAAAAATGTTTGTTCCTCTCTATAACAGCTTAAATCTTTAGATCGAGCAATTCAAGTGAACTAATAGCAATAATAAATACAGAAAGACTGAAGTTTTTGTGTTGTAAGTTGTAGAAGAAGCAAAAATCTGATGTTCAGTATCTCTGGGAGAAGATTCAAATCTCAGACCATAAAATTTTAATCGAATTTGAACGTCATGAGAGTTTAGGTTACATCTGCCAAAAATATGAGAATCTAATTATCGTGCTCCGCAATACCCTAAAATGTTATATCATTCTCCATAACACATTTTTATTTGTGAACTATAGTTGTGGTAGATAGTACTTATTTCTACAGTACTATGCTATACAATGCTACTATAACAAGTGAATAAAATGGTGAAGTCTGAATACAGGCAATTATCTTCGAATATAATATCTAAAAAATAGTGTAGCCATATGTGAACTCTGGACTTTGAAGTTGAGAGCTCACTCGGTGACGAAAACGCCATGCCTGGTTATCATAATTTGATAATTGCAGGGTTTTAATGCTGAACATACAAAAATTTGCCACCATTTCACAAAAGGATACGTAACCAGATCTTAATTCAGAAAGGCTAAATGTAATGCTATGTATTTTCTGAAAATTGATCAGAATACAGATCAATAAATTGAGTCAAAGTTTAAGATCTCTATCCCCAAAAGGAAAAAGGACAAATGAGAAGCTACAATCGTAGGTGTAGATGGAAATTCACCCTAGAGAGGCAGGATTACTCAAGCTGAAGGAAAAATAGGTGGATGTCCAGGGCTTCATTTGAAGGAGGACCTGCAATGAAAATATGTGTATACTATGTGATAGTGTTAAGGATAGAGAGTTTGCCAATTAAGAATATGATGTGAAGTGATATGGCCTTTCCTAATTTCAAATTTCAAATTTTTTCTCAAAAAAATTAGATGAAAAAATAGAGAGATGAAAATATGTAATGAAAAAATAGTACTCAATTATCAAGCAAAATCAACAAAAAGAGAGCCTGAAAATAAGGTTGTTAGAATGAAAAAAATAATTGTCAACAATTTCATACAATCGATTTAAAACCGCACACCTATAAAGTTGTGCAGTTATAATTACTTTCTCTTTAATTATAGATCGCACACTTGTAAGTTATACAGTTTTTATTACTTTCTCTTTTAAGTTTGTTTAAAAGGAAATTATTGTTGTTCGACTATAACATAATCTAGTACGAACGCTTAGTAAATTTTTTATTTGACTGATTTATAGTCGACTAATCTTTTGAATTTATTTATGTTATTTGGAAAATGCCACTTTACTAAAACTCTTCCTTAACGAACTAGTAAATTTCTATGGAAGCCCATAATTATACAATCATGGTTTTACATTTTTATATGCAAAAATAAGTAGATGAAAAATGTGAAGTACTTTCCTCAGTTCTTATTGAATCTTCTGTTTATATTTTGTTGGCAAGTAGGAGTTTTTCTTTTTTCCATAGCATGATTCCACATTAGTTATTTGTTTACTCTAAGATGAAAATGAAACAAAATTTCAATCAAAGCCTATTACTTGAAATGCTTTGAGTGCATAAATAAAATAAAAACAATAATGTAGAGCTTCAAATTTTGGCTAAACAAAGTCAGACAACATAATCAATTTGAAGCAAAGACTATTCTTGGCTATGATTAAAGAAAAAGTTATAACTTTTAAAGGTTGAAACCCAACCTTGAGAGTCCTCCCACCGCCCCGCCTTTGGAACATCGTGAGGAAGGTAAATCACGGAATGTGTCTCGGCAAGACAGAGAACAAGAGCTTGCATGTACGCTGGTATCCACAAAGAGTCGAATTACATATCTCATGAATCGAATCCTCACACTGCGACTACCAGCAAAGTTGAGATTATTTCACTCCTGTCATTTGCACCACTGGGCTATGCCCCGGGGACCAAAAAAAAAAAAGTTAGTACTTTTAAACTTAGCCAAACATGTCTAAGAGCATGTTTGATAACGATTTTAATCCAATTAACATCAATTTTTTTACAGTTATTTCACTACTTAAAAATAGAGTTTTAGGTACGGATTTTTCGTTCCTAAAGCCTCAATATCCGTTGCTAATAATCTTCACCAATGAAATATTTGTAACCACAAATCCGTTGATAATTTGAGGGTTGCTAATAGTTACCAACGGATCATGCCGTAGGTAAAGAGTAAACATTTTACCAACGGAAAGTCTTAACTAATACCAACCGACTTTTACAATTGGTAAAAATCAATGTTGTAAATAACTGTATGGTAAAAAAGTTGTTGTTGTTGTTATTGTTGTTGTTGTTGTTGTTGTTGTTGTTATTATTATTATTATTATTATTATTATTATTATAATTATAATTATTTATTTATTTAATAATTATAATATTTTTTTATTTTTAGCCAACTGAATTGAAAGGCCAAAATATTGTTTAACTCCTTATTGGACCACAAATTTATAGAGGGCAACTACAAAGATATTGTTGTAAACTTTCGATGTGGGATAAGTGAATTATTTTTACCAACGGATGATCTGTTTCTCATTACCAACGGAATATTCGTTGCTGAAAAATCAAAATGTTAAATGGTTATATTAGGCATGGAACATCCGTTGGTAAAGAGATGTCATTTTTACTAACAGATAATTCATTTCTAATTACCAACGGAATATCCGTCGATAAAAGATCAAAATGTTAAACAATTATATTAGGCATGGAATATCCATTGGTAAAGAGATATCATCTTTACTAACGAAAAATCTGTTGTTGATTATTGTTGCTAAAAATGAATTACTTTTACCAACGGATAATCCGTTTTTAATTACCAAAGAAAAATTCGTTGCTGATTATTGTAGCTAAAAGTGAATTACTTTTATCAACGGATAATCCGTTTTTAATTACCAACGAATTGTATCCGTTGGTAATATTCAATACATCACCTATGGAATATCCGTTGGAGGAAGATCCAAATGTTAAATGATTACATTAGGCACGGAATATCGGTTGGTAAAGAGATATTATCTTTACCAATGAAAAATCCGTTGCTAATTATCGTAGCTAAAAGTGAATTGCTTTTACCAACGGATAATCCGTTTCTAATCACCAACGGATGCAATCCGTTGTTAATTTTCCGTAGGTGAAAAACTATTTTTTAGTAGTGTTTTACTATTTCAGTCGTTATTTTTGAATTATTCTCTTACATGTAGGACTCACTTTATCTTCAACGGTAAAAAATAAAAATAAAAAATCAATTAACAAAATTCCTACCAAACAAGCGCTAAGAGTTAACTTTTAATTATCATTTTTTTTTTGAAAAGTAATTGCTATTAAAAATATAAGTTTTAGAACTAAAAAATTCTCCAGAAAAAAAAAAGTGAACTTATGGTGGGAAAAAAAAATGATAATTAAAAGTTAACTCTTAAATTTAGCGCTTGTTTGGTAGGGATTTTGTTACTTGATTTTTTGATCGTTGGAGATAAAGTGACTCCTACATGTAAGAGAATAATTCAAAAATGACGACTGAAATAGTAAAATAACGGTAAACAGACTTAAAACAATTTTTTTAACAAGACATGCAGCAACTCCAATCCTCAATATGCAAAATTTATATTCTAATGGATAGGCCAAAAAAAAAATTAAAGCTTGAAATGGACTCACATTCTACTACTCGCTTGCGCGCATCACTCAAAGTTTCCCAATCCGAAGAATCCCGAATGGCTCTAAATGCATTGTAGATGGGCTTACTCTGCCCTATTTTCAACTGAAACTCAACTTTTTCGGGCTACAGAAAGTAGAAGGGAAAAAATCAATCAAAATTAACTCAACCAGAAGCATATTTGTCTGATTATAAAATCATTTACTGTACCTGAACTTGTTCGATTGCCGCCTAGAGCTCGGGAGAGTCCTTGACGGAACAAAGATGATTCACTATCCCCCAAACTACGGATAGCCTGTCTATGATCTTTTCCAATGGCACAACTAGTTTTGGGCATGTGGGCTCTATTGTATTTTCCAATTCAATAAAGTCATTTTCCTGCAAGTCCATTGAAATAAAAATCTTTTTGGAATACCCCATATATTATGTGATCCACTATACTATAATATATCCATTTTGATCAAATTTTTAGCAAAGAATTCTGAGATGTTCAATTTATAAGTTTTCTTAACAGAGATTGAATTGTGGGGCGAACATTTCTTGGTTCTATGGTATCGTATGGAGGGGAATATGAAGCTCTGTAGTAATGGACACTGACTCCATGGACGGATATGTCTAGTTTTGCAGGACGATGAGTCGTTGGGCAAATTGCCTTTTTTTGAGTTAATTATTCTAATGGTCATTGAACTTAGATTCATATCTTTGATTGATCATTGAAATTTAAAATATTGAGTTTTGATCATTGAACTTAGGTCCATGTCTGCGACTGCTCACTGAAATTTAAAATGTCGAGTTTTGGTTACTGAACTTAGGTCCATGTCTTTGATTGTTCACTAAAATTTAAAATATCAAGTTTTGATCACTTAACTTTGAAAAATATTGTATATTACTCACTGAATTTTGAAAAATATTATACATTACTTACTATAAACTCGATATTTTTCAAAATTCAACAATTATGTTAGTGAGTAACTTACGGCATATTCCAAAATTTAGTGGTCAAAATTCGTCATTTTAAACTTTATTGAGCAATCTAAGACAAAGACCTAAGTTTAGTGAACAATCAAAGACATTGACCAAAGTTCAATGACCAAAACTTGACATTTTAAACTTCAGTGGCCGATTAAAGATATGGATGTAAGTTCAGTAATTATTGGAACAATTAACTCCTTTTTTTTCTTTTCATTTTTGGCCAAGTCATTGTCATGGAAAACTTGCACCATTGGCCACCGTCGGACCCAAACTTTTTGTATGGTGGGTCAAAAATTAAAATGTAATTTTTAGTATGGAACTTCTCGACGCACTCTTCGAACCCGCAAGCACCTTTCATCTACCCTACGCTAACAGCTCTCTTCTCTTATGATATTGCATCCGCCTTCGATTATTCAATTTCGAGTTAGCGCTTTTAGGGATTATGATCAGCAACTGGCACACATAGGCTAAAAAGAATAATAGCATTGCCTCGGTATACAACCATTCTATATTCATTGCCTCCTCGTATTACGTATTATAAAAGGTAACCAGATCTCCTCACTTGAGTTCTTTGCATTGGGCGCGCTCGCTTTGTTTGTTCATTGGAGGAAAGCGTTTATGGTAAAAGAAAACAAGTTACTATTAATAAAAATAAGTCAATACAATACTATAATTAAAGTTTATGCATTTTGATACTTTGAAAACATCATGTAATTATATCATTATCGATATTATCAAATGGATTTTATTGCTTGTATAGTTTTGTTTACCATCTCATCGATAGATGCTGAGCTAAGGTGAATGTAGGAAGTAAATGAATTGAAATAAAATTCATATTTAATTTAGGAAGTAAATGAATTGAAATAAAATTCAAATTTAATTTAGGAAGTAAATGAAATTTAAATTTAATAAAAAAGTAATTTAAATTATATTTAATTTATAACGATCCTAAAATTTTTTATGTCATACTACATGTAAGATTTGCTAATAAAATGATGTGAATTATATTGGGAAATTTGTTGTGCAAAATAATAAATGTTAATGAAATAATTAAATTTTTTTAAGAAGACATAGGTTTGATGCACGTTTAACTATTATTGATATTCGTTTGGACCATTTGATATGATTAAGATGTAGTTCTCGAAACGAGCTCCTAAGTAATGTAGGCGATTTAAAGATTCAAC